GCCCCAAGTTAGCTCAGCTGACGTCAGGGGAAGGCGCCTCTAAGGTGGAGAATACCCTTACTAAGGATCAGAGCAGGTTTGAAGCTCTTGCAGATCAAGGGTCTCGAAGGGCAGAAAAACTTCATCTTTCACGTCAAAAATCTATGGAGGTATGTTGTTTGACATTAATCATATCATTCTTATATATGTTTTTATTATTAGTCAATCAACACCTCACTTAATTGCACAAAATGTAGGATAAATATATAAAACACAATATTTCATTTTCTAGTTATATAGTAAATCTTTGAAGGAGTCTTATATAATGTTAATATAGATCTCCATAGATGGATACTTAGGATTAATAATTTAAGACATCATAGAATAAGAATATGAAAACTCATATATCTAAGGTGTCCATTTTGGCTTTTCTGGACAAATATTTCAACCAACCATTTACGTTCTCTGTATAACAATTTCAGATACCAAAAGTAGGTCAAGTAGAAATAAAAAAGAAATTTAAGATTTTCCCATAGACTAAGAATGGTATTCAAATGTTAACATATGTGGAAAAAGTGGAAGTTATTATGATTTACCTCCATTTAACAAAACATGAAATGTTGCTCTACCGTTTACTTGATTTTCACTCAAAATTCCATATTTTTCACCAACAATATCTTCAATTACATTGGAATGAAGTTCATTTCTCCACAACTGTTGACATTTTGACACCATTACCTCATGTTCTTTGTTATAATTTGTATATAGTTACAGTTATGTAAGACTATGCATTACCTTTATATCAGTACACTGGCTTTCATCCCATCCCATATCAATACATAGTAACCTGGTACTTCTTACAATATATATTGAAATAATAAATGTGTCTTCACGGTGGTCATATCTGATAATGGAATTGAACCAAAGGAGGAAATATCATCATTCAGTCCTGATATTTAAAACAAGAGTCTATGTCCACATTTTGTTTTGAAATATCACCAAATCAAACTCATTGATCTCTTTACATAATATGTATGTTAATATTATCAATCTATGCACTACTCCACCATTGCCTTCTGACTTTTTTTGAAAAAAACCCAATTACATACAATCCAACCTATTCCATGACATATGCTAATACCCCTAATTTGGAAAAATGGGCAAGTCCAAAAACAACAGGATAACCTGAATCCCTCTAGGTCAACTGACCTAACACCCCTTTATATGCTATATCTTCATAATTGTACTTGCCTATGTATGGAAAAGTGGAAAAATTTTAGAGTCCAGTTTTTTTACTCTATCTGCTAGAAGTTTCTTAGATAATTGGTAAATTGATGGCAGATATATGCAGGACTAGGGGTTACCAGATTGTTACGGGAACCTAGTCAACGTGATAGTTTACAGAAGTTGGAAAATCTACAATCTGAACTGGCACAGATGACCAAGTAGCCGATCTTTGGGACAGCAAGGTGTATATTAGAAGCATGCACAACTTGAGTAGCAGTTTACTGAGGGAGTTGGTGCCCACCATCCCATGGTAGATCTTCAAGACTATACCTCAGCAGGGCCTCCTCAGCAGCAGAAGGTACTTGGACAGAGTCACAAGTCATTCTTCAGTGCAGTGAGCTCATTTGTGGTTGTATTTTAGTGTACTTCTAACACTAGAAATAGGTCAGTTTTTAGGAAATCCTTCCATGGATTTTATTTTCAAGCTACACGCTTAGCTAACAGTCAACTTAAGGTTAGCCTAGCTTGTCTTTGGGACAATAAGTTCAGACCCAGTTGAACTTTATTTGACCCCTACTGGCTTGTATTATCTTTTTTGTAAAGGTTTTTCACTCATACTTTGAACCTTTCTATAAGGGACCTTTACTCTTTAACCCTATACTAGTATACTTTTACTAGCTCTAGGGTTCTAATCCTTTGAGTTCATGACTATACTTATTGTGTAGTATATTATGTAATGATGGCCTTCTAGGTTCATAAGGTTATTCCCCTTATTCATGCACCTACAGTAGCTTTGTTGGAGTTCATTGCTTTGAATGACTATTCCTTAGTTTTTCACTCAGTAATCATTACATTCAAGCTGTGCTTATCCACTGAACAGTGTTTTCTTTTTTGAAATGTTGTGTTCAGGGATTATGAATAGGTGGAGTTTTTCTAAGAACTCTACTGATTGATGACTGTAAATTATTATTACACTTTACTTGTATTGAAAGATCTTTTTGCTGATCTTGTTTATTTTTCTTACTTTTTATTAGTCGGGAATTAGTCTCAACGTTGTTTCTAGTTTAGTAACTAGCTTGACTAGATAACATATTTTTCAGTTGGATTGAATCTGCATTGTTCCTAGATGTAGTTAATTCTCATCCTTATTCACAATCACTTTACACCCTTTGTAGGGATCTTGGTTCCAGCACTTTATGGAATTGTGTGGTTTAGCAGTCAATTAATTTAATATTAGTTTTTTGGACAATTTAAGAGATGTGAACGTTTCATTCACTTGCTACTCTTCACATCACTTGTTTTCTATGTTCTGTTTGTTTTCTGCTTACAGATACACTCAGCTTTTACATTTGTATTTCTTATTCATCAACTAATTTTAGGTCTAATTTTACATTCGTGTAAAATTAGTTAGTTTACAGAAGCCTTACTTTAAGATACATTGAATGGCTCATTAATGCCTTCTGGTCACAACATATTCATTCTTTATTTATACCAGGGCATAGGATGTTTGTTCTACAATCATTTTGGATATCTTGGTTTTCAAATCTTGTTTCATTATTTTGAATTTACAAGGATAATTTTTACTAAGTTTTTTTTTGTTTGTTTGTACTTTTGTGTCTCTTTATGGAGATCTACATTATTGTTTATCTACATATCTCAGGTCCACTCTATGTCTTAGAATCTTTTGGTTAGTTTTACCCTAACCACATTTTTTTATGGAGTGGCTCACCTTAAAATATGCTTCATACTTTTGAACAGCTACTTATCAATCACTCCTTTTCTGGTATTGATTGGTTTCATGCATATTTTCTAAGTAACTATATGTTTCTTTATAAGCGGTGTACCTTCACACATGTTTGAATCTTGTCTTAAATTGATAAGATCATGAGTCAATTGATTGAAATATAATTTTATATTATTCAATCAACAGTAGAAGAGAGGATTCTACACATCGGTTCAGGTTCTTTATACTACGAATCTTGTGTTTTAAACACGCTTCTAAGTGATGGGCTCTCATTCTTATTATCTGGAGCCTGTTTTCTTTCATTTTCGTTCTTATTCATAACCATAGTACTTATTCATTCATGGATTGGTTATTATTTTCAACAAGGTGGTTTTCATCTAATATTGAAAACACATCCCTTTGATTGTGAAAGTTGCCTTTGTGGTTTTCGGGCCTGGATTGCTTTAAGGTTTCACTCCAGTTCCAGACTTCATTTGGTGTTATATTTTTACTAGTTCATGTTCATAGTACTAATACTACTTTTTAACTAGTAAAAGGCTGGTAGTTTTAACCACTTGGATAAACTGACCATGTTTTTTATCATATAGTTTTTTCCCCTGAGAAACTGCGAGTCACTTTTATTGTGGGATTCATCTTTGTGGTCTTTGGGCCTGGATTTCCTTCAGGTATCACTCCAGTCCCAGACTCCTTTTGGTCTTATTTTATTACTAGTTCATGTTCATAGTACGTATACTACTTTTTAACTAGAACAGGTTGGTAAATTTAACCAATTGGATAAACTAATCATGTTTTATGATATTGTTTTTTCCATTGAGAAACTACAAGTCACTTTATTTGTGGAATTAATCTTGGGCTTTTTGGACCTGGATTGCTTTAAGGTTTCACTCCAGTCCAGACTTCATTTGGTTTTATATTATTACTAGTTCATAGTACTTATACTACTATTGACTAGTAAATGCTGGAAGTTTTAACCAATTGGATAAACTTATGATATAGTTTTTTCCCTTGAGCAACTGCAAGTTTGGCTTAAGACTACTGAAAAGTAATGTTCTTGGACCAAGCGTTGTATGGATCCAACAATTGACTGGTAGACACATGCAGTAGTACTTCGATGACCATGCGGGCCTGATGTATATGCTGTTGATACTAGAGTTTCAACTCCAAGCCAAGTTTGATCTACAAAGGTTATGCTCCAAGTCAAGAACTTTGTGGATCCAGCACTACCTTACTACATACTGTAGTGTTCCAATACACCTACATTCATGATGTATGCTCTTGGTAGCTTTAGACAGACCCGGGAGAAAGCTGACTATTCTTGTCAACCAGTGCTGCCAACTACAACCTGGATGAAGTTAAAGGTTACGTTTTTGGACACAGATTTTGGTTGATCTAGCACTACTATACTCTCATACTATACTAGTAGTGCTTCCCTTTGTAGCAGAATCTACGTTCAATGCTGTTATACTCTTATAGACAGATAGATGTACTATCCATTGAAGATACCACTAGTCTGTCTTTTGCAAGCCTGTGAAGAACATTTGAAAGTTTTTTGATCCAGTGAGTTTCTGAATTCTTCTGCAGTAGTATGTCAATATGCACCACTAGCTATGATGTTTGCTGTTTACAACCTGGACAGATGGATGTTCTAACCACAATCCAATAGTTATCAACTACAATGCCGAATACAACAATTGAAGGTTGCATTCCAAGCCAAGCTCTTTGTGGGAACAACACTTAGCAGTGCTTTGATGGCAGTAGAATACTTTCTGTTATGCTCTGTTGGCACTATAGACAATCATAACAGTTATATCCTTATCTTCTTAAAGATGTCTAACAAGTTTACCAACAAATGCAAGCTTGTTTCCAACCACCTTTAGATTCATCTCCATACTAATCCTTTATAGATAAGTATGGACCTGTATGCTGTTCTACTTTGTGCTTGATGTGCCACTGTGTCTACTAGGGAAGCTGTGTTACAGTTTTATACAGATGGATAGACTGTCTAGATGCACTAGTTGTCCATTGAAGAACTTCTTTTGGCCAGATGGAAGATGTCTCTTCTTGCCCAGGTCAGCAGTAATGGTTGATCTGTTCTATGATGAATTCTAATTGGTACTACAAAGAAGATGGTTTGACTTATCCCTGTAGTTATCTGGTGGCTCTACCAACCTCGACTGGCTGGGTCTACGGAGGTGTCTTGCTCCATGTAACTTTGTTATGGATCCAAAAGACAAGAATCACTTAGCAGATGTGTAGTGGTATTGTTCTATGTCGTTAAAACCATTCTACAAGTTGGCTGAAACGGCTTTATGATCATCGCTGGTCCAGACTGGATGTTTATTCAACTAACATCCAACTCTGAGAGCAGAGACTAGACAAGATGTTGTGTGTACCACCTCACTTTGTATGCAAGACTGGTTCCTTTAGGACCCTGTGCTGTGAAGTATGGTAGTTGATTTATCGGCAGCTTCCTAGAATTCCAATGGATGAAAGGATGATGCCTTTGTCTACATTGACAAGAACTACAACAATGGCTTGGATTATCTCAAGTATATCTCATCCAAGCTGCAGGTGGGTCTACATCTTCAAGAACTTTATACAACTTTAAGTACTCTGCAACTTGTTACCAACTCAGTATTGCACTGTAGTCTGGTGATTGGAAGTAACACTGGGTGGACTTGGTTTGTCTTTATTTTGTACACAGCCATTCCTTGTCTATCCAGTTCTTGTGTAAGCGGAACTGTTTTGCAGAAGGGTTCAACTCAACCAGCTTGTGACCTGGACCTTTGAAGAACTACAAGGTTGCCTCGTTTGGTTAAACGGCCCATCCTTGGTTAACCAGTTCTATTCATAGGAGTTATTTGCAACCCTTAGATGGGTAAGGATACTCACTGTGAAAGGACATAACAGTCTCCAAGATGTGTAGCTGAACTGTTTTGCAGAAGGGTTCAACTCAACTAGCTTGTGACCTGGACCCTTGAAGAACTGCAAGGTTGCCTCGTTTGGTTAAACGGCCCATCCTTGGTTAACCAGTCTCTATTCATAGGAGTTGGTCATTACCCTTAGATGGCTAAGACTGCTCACTATGATAGGACAATAACAGTGTTACAGATGTGTCACAGCCTCTGCCTTACAATGGATGATGGTGGCTGTTCTACTAGGGATCACTATGGTTTGTGAGATCAGAGTACTTGTTGGTAATATGAATTTTACTTTTATTATAAGTACTTGTGTATATATATTTATTATACTTTTGGGCTTAATCGGGGTCCCACCTCCTTTACTTTTAATTCAGCATATGTCATGGAATAGGTTGGATTGTATGTAATTGAGAAATTTTACAAGTAAATTTTCTATTAATTACAATACAAACCTATTCCATGACCATAGGCCCACCCGGCCTCCCCGCAGTATTTTTAAGTTTTACTGCGTACAATTATGAAGATATAGCATATAAAGGGGTGTTAGGTCAGTTGACCTAGAGGGATTCAGGTTATCCTGTTGTTTTTGGACTTGCCCATTTTTCCAAATTAGGGGTATTAGCATATGTCATGGAATAGGTTTGTATTGTAATTAATAGAAAATTTACTTGTAAAATTTCTCATCTTTTACAAGTGTTATATAATTTATCTATGTTTGTTTTCATGAAAGATATTTCAACTAGATATTATAAATTAGATATATTACAAATTGCTTACTTCAAAACACTCCCCTGCTTCTATCCTATGTTTAAGTCATTAAGGTGGACCTCGCTGGACAATTTCATGAAGCTTAATATACATTCGTCTCTACCTACCTTAAAGTATTTCCTACAGTAGCTATTAAAGTTAAAATGTGCGTTTTCTGTTTCATCATTATTATTCATTTGTTTTATCTCTCTCTTGATTTTCACATGCATCTGCAAAAAGTTTCTCTATTTGAAATAAGCCTTGTTATTGTTTTTTAACTCTCACACTGTTGTGGTGGTTTATTGCCAATGTATTGAACTCTTCAATGTTTATTTCCAGCTTATTGGTGATCTAGATGAGCTGTCTGATTGGTTTAATGAGGTTGACAATGAGTTACAGAATGCTTTGCCACCAAGTGTGGATCCTGAAACATTGAAAGATCAACTGAAGGAACATAAGGTAAAACTAAAACCATATAAACAAATCCAGCTTTTTTAATCAATGAAATGTATCTACTTTTCTTGTATTCTACCTTTCGATGAATCTGATAAATAATTTTGAATGATTATGTATAATTAAAACAATACCCAATTAACAGTAGAATCAGTTTCACGAGTCTTTGCACTCTCCTAAAAGTGTGTTGTATCTTAATTAGAATACATCATTTTCATATGATCTTTTACCCATCTATAGATGCTGAATGACGATATCATGATGCAGAAAGGTAAATCTCGTGACTTGGTCTCCCTGGGTAAGAAACTCCTTCGAGAATCTTCAACAGAGTTAGAACCAGACATACGTGATAAGGTAGATGATCTCAAGAAACAGGTAGACTCTGTGTCCAAGCAGAGTGCTGATAGATTGAGCGTGCTGGAACAGGCATTCCCTCTTGCTGGCCACTTCCAAGACACACATACTGATCTACTGCAATGGTTCAATGAGATTGAGGGAGATATCAGGGCAGCTGAAGGCCCTGCTGTTGGCACAGATCAGATCAAACAACAACAAGATCATATAAGGGTAAGTATTTTCTGTATTATGTTTACTAGTAGCTGATATTCAAATGGAATTATCACGTGTGCCTGTCATTGCCTGTGTATGATCAAGGTTAGCCAAAATATTCACTTCACAGGGCCTTCCTTAAGAGTTTAAGTATAACTATTGTATGCTATTTTTCTGTTCATTTACAATTTTTTTCATTTAATTATTTTCCTCATTTTTCTTTATATTGTATTGGTATTGTGCCCTCTACAGATGCTGAAACAAGACATAACTGACCATAAGCCACTGGTGGACAAACTCAACAAAACAGGCCCTGCACTGCTGAAATTAGTTGGTGAAGATGAAGGAGAAAACATCCAAGAAATCATGGAAGCAGACAATGAGCGTTTTGACACAATCAAAAACAGCATCAGAGAGCGTACAAATGTCTTAGATGACGCCATGCAGCAAACATCAGAATTTGTAGAAAAGCTAGAAAATATTGTAGAAACCCTACAAGATACTGCCCAAGCTGTTGAAAAGGCTGAGCCTATATCTGCCCATCCTGATAAGCTGAAGGACCAGTTAGCTGACAACAAGGCTATCATTGAAGACCTGGATAAGCGCCTAGCAGCCCTTGAGACTGTCCAAGCCTCTGCAGAACAACTAGTAGGAGAGGCAGAAGGTTTAGAAGATGAAGCAGCTGGAGGTAAGCACGACCATAAATTAATCAAATAATATTAGATTAACTGGAAGAGAATGTTACAAAGTTCTATCATCACTTGCAGTAGTAATTGAGAAAAATGAAATTGGAGATACATTGATTGAAAGCATCACTGAACCAAATAAAATATAAAAAAATATAAAATATTAAAAAAAGATATCAAATCATAATCTTAGAAATGTCATACTCATCTATACATTTTGTACAAATCTGTTCTTGTTAATGCAGTGTATAAGAGAAGCTTTCACAATTTGATGTTTTATTCCATGATGGTGAAATTCCCTGCAATCTGATTGGTCCACGTGACTTAAATATATTCTGTATTTACACGCACTTTCCTGTGTCAATGACGTCAGCGTTGGGATACGGTCCAGTATCCCAACGCCCCAGATTTCCATCCAGGATATGACTGTTACTGAAAAAAATCAATGGCGATTACTTTGCACCAACGCATGCTTATCTTTGAATTTTGCTATAAATATCTGATTCAAATATCAGAAACGTATACTGTGATCACCAGAATCAATAATTTTAAGAGGAAAAAACGCAAACAAAAAGCAAACAACAAGGACATAAAGATTTTGAAGGAATATCGATGTAAAATATCTCTGAGGTGAGAAGGTTGATCTGTTTCTCCGGCCCCAAGCCAACGGACTTGATTTAGGCGAATTTTATATGGGTAATCATGGAATAAAACGTTTTTTAATGATTTCTTGTGAAATACAGAAAATATTCTTCCCTTGAACGTCTGTATTTCACTCTGCTAGCGCATCGTGAAATACAACCTTCTCGGGAAGAATATTTTCTGTATTTCACTCGAATCATTGAATAACTTATAATATCATCAAAATGTATGTCCTTCTTTTGAAATAACAGATTTGAAGAACAAAGTTGGCGACCTTGTTGACATGTACAAGAACCTGAAGAAGGCCACTGAGGACAGGAACAAGGCACTGGAGATGACACTGGATACCTCTGAGAAGTTCTGGGATGAGCTGAAGGATGTTGAGACAGCTATAAAGGACTTGGAGGATGGCATCAGAACTCAAGAGCAGCCAGGTGTACAACCAGAAGTCATCAAAGAACAACAGGAGATCCTAGATGTAAGATTATCAACACATGATATTCATCATTTACTTATTGATTCATAGATATCTATTTTCTTGTGATTCAACATTTTACTTCTTATAATGTTTTGTTTCTATTTCTCATAAAATAATATTAATACCTTGTATATTATATGTAGATCATGCAAATGTTGCCCTTTCCCTGTCTTGTGGAAGTCCAAGAGAAGTTATGTTTATTGAAGTCTTGCTGCATATTACTGAATATTTAGTTATCTACATGACAATTATTTATCTTCAGGCAATGCGAGAAGAGATTGAGGCCTCTAAGGGTGGTGTAGATGACATTGCACACACTGGTGATACTCTTATGGGACTCATTGGTGAACCTGATAGGCCAGAGGTGAAAAAGAACATTGATGATACTGAGGCAAATTGGGAAGCACTTTATAAACAATGGGAGGACCGTCAAGCTGTCCTGGATGATGCCTTGAGAAGTTCACAGAAATTCCACGATGAGCTAATAGTAAGACCAGACTTTCATTTTTTATGTCCCCACCACAGTGTTAGCCATATTTTCAGCCTATATTTATTTGAAATGCAATGTTATTATGATTTTTATTTTAATGAAATGAGAATGAAATGTGGGTAATGAATGAATAATGAATGTTAGAATTTATCATGAAAGCTATAAGTCACACAGAAAAAAAATCTAATTCATTTTTTACATTGCAGCAAATCCTGGCATGGCTTCAAGAACAAGAGTCCAGCTTATCAGACCTTGGTACAATAGGGGTAGATACAGACACAGTAAAACAACAGCTTGAAGATGTGAAAACATTCAAAGCTATGGTGGACCCCAAGAATGCAGACATTGAATCTCTCAACCAGCAAGGCCATGATCTTGTCAAGGATGCATCAAGTGACCAGGCAAGCATCATTAAAGAGCCTCTTGTTGAGGTTAACAATAGGTGGCAGGAGCTGCAAGATGGAATTGCAGCCAGGAATTCCAAACTGCAGAATGCTCTATTGAGCTTGGGACAATTCCAGCATGCCCTTAATGAACTCCTTAACTGGCTATCAAGAGCTGAGAGTACATTGGATGACTATGAGCCTGTCTATGGAGACCCCAAAATAATAGAAATTGAGCTAGCTAAACATAAGGTACTCCAGAATGATGTCAACTCACATATCCCAAGCCTAGAACAAGTGAATGAAGCAGGCAGGGGTGTTATCACTGGGGAAGGTGGAGCTGTTGCAACACACACTCGAGAAAAACTGGATGAAATGAACCTACGATGGGATGCAGTGTTGGCTCGCACACGTGATCGTCAGCTAGAGCTGGAAGGTTCACTCAGGGTTGCTATGGGTTTCCATGGAGACCTACAGGATATGTTGTCAAGACTGAGTGACATTGATGGTCAATTAGTTACATCTAAGCCAGTTGGTGGTCTTCCTGAAACTGCAAGGGATCAACTAGAACAATTCATGGTAAAATGTCATCTTCTTGAACTAGAATATAATCTCACTTCTATCTTCTTTTTTATAGCATAACTATGGTTTAAAAGGAAATTGAAAATGTTGATTAATAATTGATGATTAAAACTAATTCACTTGCTATTGTATTGTTATACTAATACACCATTGAGTGGTCTAATGTTTTGTTGACACATGGTAGTGATTTGCCATTGAAATGTTATAGAATGTCTACAAAGAGCTAGATGAGTTAGAGCCTAGAGTGAATGCCTTACTGGAAGAGGGTGCACGATTGTTGGAACAGTCCACAGGTCCCGCCCACAACACCTTAAAACACAATCTGGAAACCCTGCGGCAGAGATGGACTAATATTAAAAATCGGGGAGATGATAGAAAGGTATAACATTTTGTTAACATTGTATATAGTTTTTGATGATGAGAATATGATGCATAAATGTGTTATCCCATGAGACCAACAAAATATTTACTGCTTGAACCTATCTTTGATTTCACCATATCGTTGTACTTTTACATCGTCACACCCTATGATAAAATGAGGATGTTAACGTACAGACACTGTACATTCACCATATTTTACTTGCAGAACAAACTGGATGAGGCAGTTTCCCAGGCAGGCAAATTCCATGATGATCTCAATGCATTTATATCCTGGCTCACTGACACAGAGAAGACTATTAACAACCTGAAACCAGTCAGTCGTATAGTGGAGAGTGTGGGTGAGCAGATAGAAGAACACAAGGTAGGGAATCACCTATAACATTGATGACATTGCCATATTTGGAAGATCCCTAATATGGTTTCACATCGAGTCTTAATAAAAAAAATTGCAAGACTACATGTAGCTATTGCTTCAAACCTAAAATAAGTACCATACTTATACTTCATCAGATAAATGAGCACATGTCTATTTTTCATCTAATCCTTTGGTCATCTTGTCTTACTCTGCAGTTGCATTTTTGTTACACTGTGTAAGACGCTTAAATGAAATATGTCTATGAGTAAACTGGTAAAAATAATCCGTACAGTAGTTTGTTATATGTAAATGTTTCTGACTTACAGGATCTTCAGAAGGACATAAGTAGCAACAGAGAGACAATGATCCAACTGGAGAAGACTGGTACACATCTGAAATACTTCAGTCAGAAACAAGATGTTATTCTCATTAAAAATCTGTTAGTCAGTGTGCAGAGTCGCTGGGAGAAGGTTGTCTCCAGGTGTGCAGATCGTACACGCTCTCTGGACACAGGCTACAAGGAAGCCAAACAGTTTTATGACTCGTGGAAAGATCTCTGTGATTGGATGGTTGAGAATTCAGACAATGTAGAAGGTGACCCCACTGTCGGGAATGACCCCGAGAAGATCAAAGCACAATTAATGCAACATCGAGAATTCCAACGTGCACTCGGGTCAAAACAACCTTCATATGACACTTGTAACCGTTTAGGACGGGCTTTGAAGGAGAAGTGCCCAAGGCACGAAGCACCATTTATCCAACAAATGCTCAATGAACTGAAGACCAAATGGAACACTATATGTGGAAGGTCTGTTGACAGACAGAGGAAGCTAGAAGAAGCTTTGTTGTTCAGTGGTCAGTTCAAGGATGCTCTACAAGCTCTATTGGACTGGTTATATAAGGTGGAGCCAACTCTTGGAGATGATCAGCTAGTCAATGGTGATCTTGATACTGTCAGTCGCCTGGTAGACGACCATAAGGTTAGTTATCACACACATAAAGCACAAAAGATTTCATACAGTTCATTTGGTAAAATCAATATGGAACTCTTGCATCATCTCACCATATATTACAGTATTTTATGTACATATGTTTTGTTTTTGACAACTGCAAACTTACAAGATATAAATCCTGATGTCCCCATTGCAGGTGTTTGAGAGTGAGCTAGAAAAGCGTGCAATCAGTGTGTCCACAGTGAGTAAGGCAGCCAAGGAGCTGATGGAGAAGGCTGATGAAGACACTGGCCATCTGGAGACCCAGCTCATTGAACTAACAACCATCTATGATAAGGTTTCTAAACTCAGTGGAGACAAAAAGGCTCGTCTTGAAGAGGCTGAAAAGAAGGTGAGTGAACCATGTCTGTTGAATGAAACAGTGTGACATTTGTAATTCTGTTAAAATCGATCATGAATTTTCTTAAGCTATTACATGGAATGACCCTGTGTACATTTTATTATCTATGTGTGTACAGTATAACGAATTGGAAATCTTATTTAAGGGAATCTTACCTGAATGATTTTGTAATCAGAAACATCGTTTTCACTCTAGGCTGAGAATTTCCACAAGAAGAGCCACAAGTTAATGGAATGGATGGCAGACACTGAGATGAAGTTGAGATACCAACAAGAAATACCGGACTCACCACGGGAATTGCAGGAAATGTTAGAAGACCATAAGGTACGAGCTTTAATAAAACAAAATTGGGAGCCGAAAGCTGCTATAATATAACAACATTAAATTAGACAACTTCAGTACATTTATTTGTTATGATTTGTATAGTGAAATTGAGGGCATGATAAATTTTAATATGAAAGTCTTCATGATATATTTGTTGTTGTTACAAGACATGAATCTAGTTTAAAATGTTGGTTTAAAATTTCATAAAGTTTTAGTGTGTTACCTTCCTTTAATATTGCCCCTTGCACTTTTTGATATAAACTTCCTGTATGTTTCAGAATCTCTTAGCTGAGATTAGCAAGCAAGAGTCTAATCTGAATGAGTCTATGCAGCTTGGCCAGGACATCCTAAAGCAGTGCCATCCTGATGCTGTACCTATAGTGAAACATTGGCTCACTATACTCCAAGCCAGATGGGAAGAGGTAGACATATTAGAAAATATTTATTGTGTTCTTTTTTTAAAGTTGTTTTGTACCTCAAGTACCTTTAAGCTCATAGCTCATGGAACTCACGTACACTGTATATAACCTGACTTCATCTTTTCTATGGCCTTTTCTGATTTGCACTTTTTTCTACAATTGATGATCGTGTATGTTACAGGTGCAATAATTTTGGAACTTTGCATGTCAAAATTATGTAAAATTAAAATGAAGAATAAATGATAATGTCTATTGAGCTGCTGATAATGTTCCTAAATCTATCTCGCAAAACCAAAATGATTTATTATTTTTTTATTTAGATTATGGACCGAGCCACTCAGAAAGAGCACAGACTGATAGATGCCCTGAATGAGATGAGAGGCAATGAAGAGCTCTTGGAGCAGATGTTGGCCTGGCTCACTGGGGCTCAGGCCACTCTACAGGCAGCTGATGAACAACCCATGCCTGAGGATGTGCAAGTTATTGAACAACTCCTTGGAGAACATGCTGTAAGTGTGCAAAATCAACATGTTTCACTTTTATCTCTAATACAAAAGTATTATAAAGATGGCTATAGTATGTCTTATTCTGCTTATAATTTACTTCATTCTAAAATGGGAGAGTGCTACAATTATAAATCTTGATATTTAAAAATGAATTTGCCATCTTTTAATGTTTTTAATTATTACGTTTTGTTGTAGGAATTCCAAAATGAGATGTCAACACGTCATCCTGATGTTGAACGGCTCACCAAAACTGGTAAACGCCGCGCATCAGTGGACTCTAGATCTCAGACCCCCATACTACACAGTGGGAGGAGAACCCCACAGAGAGGACTGGGGATCAAGAGGTGGGGCATGTTAAATATCAAATAAGAAGTTTCATGAATAAGATGTCATTTAAAAATCATGGTACATTTAAATGATTGAGATGTATTATGAATTTCAACATTAGTGGGAGGCTAGTGGGATGAGCAATGAAGTTTAGAAGTTTTCATAAACAGATTCTTGATGACTTCAACATTCTTTCCTATTAATTTGTGTGATAATTGATTTTCATGTCCTTGTATTTTCATAACTGTTGTTAGTGTTTGTTAATCATTGAATGTTTCTTATTTCAGTCGAGGTGATGGAGCTAGGACCCCAGAACCCCAGTTCAAGAACCCAAGGATAAGTGGTCTGTTTAACAAGTGGCGCCAGGTGTGGCTAATGGCTATGGACAGACAGAGGAAGCTTCAAGATGCAATGGAATATCTCAATGAGGTTAGTCACTGTGCTTCACTTGCTTTCTTTGTGACAGTGTTCAGTGAATCATTCACTTTTGATTGAAATTGGTAATGGAGTGTTGTCATCAGGATAGTGAGCTAATCAACTACTATAGAAAGTGATTTATTGATCAATGGTGAATTACTACTTACTGTGGATCTAATCAAAGATCCATTGTTATTGTAGGTTGATGTTCCCTAGATGAACTGTTAGTTGCTCCATGTATTCTAATTTAACACTCCTTTGGTCCCAATTAATGACTCCATTAAGAGTGCATGATTATACTTGATTAAATTCTTTCTCCAATTAATTGCATGGACATGAGGAAATTTATTGACCTCAATGGGTTACATGTAACATTTTAATCATCCTTACCTTTAATTAGGATACACTATAGTTGTACATTGTCACTTGTAATGTAGATTGGAATTAGCAAAAATGAGTGGATAAGAAATGAAAACGTAGTATCTTATCCCATAACCCTCATGTTAATTGGCCATTCATAATGTAAATAAACACTGTAATGGATTGATATGAGGTTAATACTCTAAATTATGAGAACATTCAATTAATTAGAGTGCTCATAGAATCCTTGAAGAATGCAAATAAGGTTAGGTAAGTAATATACACAAGAGGACAATTTATTACAATTGCTTCAAATTAGTGATCCTCTTATGTTCCCTTGTATGAAGATATATAACTACACATATAAATATTTAATGATTTAACAAGATTTTTTTCAATAACCATTTTTTACAGGTTGAAAAAATGAAACATTTTGACTTTGATGACTGGCGAAAGAAATACATGACCTGGATGAACCACAACAAAAGTCGCGTCATGGACTTCTTTAGACGGCAAGACAAGGACCATGATGGCAAGATCACGCGTCAAGAATTTATTGATGGGATATTAGCATCAAGTAAGGAAAATCTTTTGAGATTTTAAGATTTTGATTTTAACCCGTGTGACAATAACCAGTGTGTCACTTAATACACAGAATGGATATAAACGTGAATACTAATGTTTCCTACATTAGATAATTCTTAGTTTTATTCATTATTTCTATTATAGCCCTGTAGCCTGTAGTATATGTAACTCTGATTAATACATGTAAATGAACTCATTTATGTATGAATGTCATTGGTCAAATTATTATATCTTTAACATTGTTTTGTAATTAATAACATTGAAAGCTTCCTAAATGCTTGAATGAGGGCAAAATTAATGTTGAATTCTCAACTCTGTAGGTCTCCGCTTCTTAGGAAGACGTAATGGTAAGATTGCAACCACAGGTAGACTGACAGGAGAACATGGTCTCATTATCCATTTACTAAAGCATGTCAACTGGGCTCGAATATATTATAATGTGAAATCCTGGGGTGAAAAATGTACAGGACTCAGCATCAATTCTTAAAATGAAAGAAATGATTGAATTGAAAATGACTTTTACGTCCTCATGTGAATTAAAAAATCAGTATATTAATACATCATAAATGTTTTTTCCATGTATAATGGGACCATAAAATGCATTAATGTGCCACATTGTATTGTCTTTATTACTTTTACTTTGTTGTAACAGTATACATATTAAAATCAAGATTTGGATGTTACAAGAGAAGCTATATTTATTACATAAGATTATATTTCAGCAAACTGTTGCCTGCTGACCAAGCAGTTTCAACAAAGCAGATTGGCTGATTTTGTATATGCTTTCTTTTAGTTAACTCAATGATTTGTTTGATAGATAACACTATTTTAACTAACATCTATTGTCTTATTCCTTGTATTGTGTCCATTGTTGTCCCGCTTTCATTATTTTTCATTTTGGTTGCAAAATGCATGTACAGTAAAACCTGTCCGATGGAATACCTCTCTGTAGGGAAAACCTATGAACAAGGAATGCTTTTCAAAAGAACCAAATATTTTTCCATTGACTTACATGTTAACGGACCCTCTCTGTAGGGAAAACCTGTGAACAGGGAACAAGGAACACTATTTTGGGGCAAATTATGAAAATTCACCTGTGAAGAAGGAATATGGAATACTGGTGACACTGTATATTTTATTATTTTTCAGAGGTGTGAAAGTCTTAAGCCAATATCTGATTCTAAAAAACTTGGATTAATATGATTGAAATTAAGATAAGCCAATTGTTTACAGAATGTAGCATCCCACCCACTGTTAATTACCCCGATATATTTTAAAACTAATACTAATCCGTTTGTTACTTATTATCATGACACTAATTCTTCCTTTCAACAAACCTAATTACATCAAATCAGGCGTGATAATCTAGGGACACAATTGTTTAATGGAGATAACATATAAGTATGTGTGTCATGTTGAGCCAAATCTCTTTAAATCTTTTACTGATCCAAACTTCTAGATTATCAATAATATAAAATGGGGTTGATCAAACTTGAAATTCAGTTCTTAGCAACAAATCTCTACACATCATATCAATATTTACATCAACTAGACATCATCAGACGCCAGCAGCAGCAGCAGCAGCAGCTAAAATCAACATAGAGGGAGGTGGGAGACCTTCATACATCTTCAAAGGTGTCACAACAAAGTCTAGCAACCAAGTATGGAGTCTGCATTGATACAACCAATCAATGCCCATATATATACAACAAATATGCTTATTCGGCAAGTTTGAGTTTGCTGAAAGTGCGGCCCCTCTCTGTAGGGAAAACCTCTGAACAAGGAAACTTTCCTCCAGTCCCAAGAGCATTCCCTGTCCGCAGGTTTTACTGTAATATTATCAAAGCTTTATCATTATTCTTAATGCAGCATTTAACTCAATGTTTGCTGTACTCTTTTGTTTTATTCATGACAGCTGCATTGTTAAGGCATGTCGTTATTCACTTCATCTATTACATCCTCAGTGAGATGCATGATAATGAAAATTCATTGAGTTGAATATAAAGCCATCTGACAATTATTGCAGTAGTAAGCAGAAAACTGGATTTGTGTATTTTATTGTAGTTTCCTCCAGATCAGAAATGTGGTCAAATAAACACTTACTTCCCTATTGTTGCAAAATGTGTACATTTTACTATATTCAAGTGTATATCACAAATGTCCTTTATATGTCATGTGACCTTTCAACTGTGTGTTAACCTATGTGTTTAATGTTTGTAGTTTCTCGTACCTTACATGTACATTATCATAAAAAGCTATCAGCTAAAAAGTTGAAATGGTTCTACGATTCTGTTCCATATTTCAGAGTTCCCAACTTCAAGGCTTGAGATGGAGGCTGTTGCCGACATATTTGACCGTGATGGTGATGGTTTTATAAACTACAAGGAGTTTGTAGGTGCCCTTAGACCTGACAGAGATGTGAGTACAAAAAGTTGATATATTTTCTGTCATATCTATCCCATGCTTTTAACACACTGCATGAGTGCATGTTCATATTCCATTTTTTGAAAAAGATAATAATCTATTGTAAGCTATTACTTATAACATATGCCCTCCATCCACACTAATTTTGTTCTAGCTATGCAGTTTTTATCATATTGATCATTTTTTAAATTATTAATTACTTTTGTCAACACAAAAGCTTATCCCTTTCCTAGAAACCCACTATCACTGACAGATTGAATGCATAAGAGCTTTCTGTTTATTTTAGGTACGTAAGCCACAGACTGACCATGAGAAGATTGTAGATGAGGTCAGAAAGCGATGCTCTACATGTACCTGTCAGAAACAGTTCCGCATACACAAGATAGGAGAGGGAAAATACAGAGTAAGTATACCCACATTCACTTTTTTCACAAAGCATATTGCTGGAACATCATGAATAATATACAACATACGAAATCACCATATAGAATTGAATCAGGACTGCAGTGTACTTGTAAAGTGTCTCACTAATTTGTTTTATCTCTAAAATTATTATGATTGTCATGCTTCAGTTTGGTGACTCACAAAAGCTCCGATTGGTGAGAATCCTGCGTAGCACTGTGATGGTGCGTGTCGGTGGAGGCTGGGTGGCCCTTGATGAGTTCCTCGTCAAGAATGACCCATGTAGAGGTAAATATCAACCCTTTTCTCTAATGTGCAATATTTTTTATTAATCTTTTCATGTTTTAAAATTAAAGGTCAGTTGGTATTTTATACAATCTTGTAAAGTTGTTGACTATTGTACATATTTTCTCAAGTGGCAACCTGTAGAAGACATCGCAGATTTCGATTTAAAAGACGATATTTTCCTACACGCATCCCGATGTACACTCGTATACATCCGATGTTCACTCGTCTACATCGCTGTAGTAGGTTCACAAATCAGATCTAAGAATGCTGTTTGAAATTAACAGATGGTGAAAAGTTGACTTTGCCAGTTTGTGTTCATACTAATAATGTGTTCTGCATGTATGATTTACATGTAGTGATATTGAAATTCCTGATATGAACATAAACAAGAAATACCGTTGGTGCATTATGGCATTGGTTTTACAAAAGATATTTTGTGCATAATGATTTGTAGAAAGCCCCTGTGCAACTGGGAAATAAGAAATGTCCTTGTTGTACCTGTTGAAATGCCCCCTTAGATGGGCATGAATTTATACAGTATTTGGCTGTATTTTTACTATTAGTTTAGTAATAAAAGTATAGAGACAGAAGTAAAGGCATGTGTTTGACAAATCATTTTGCTAATCATGATCATTTTCTCTTTCCCTCTCCATTTTGTTTTGGCCCACTTGCTCCACCTATCTAGCGGGATTCACACCATATTCGCTGGCACACATCCAGGAAACTCCAAATGTTTGGTTCAGTCGCAACACAGGACGTCATCATAGGCATTGCTGTATGTAACCCAACCTGGCTAGATAAGATATTGTCAACCTTTATTCTTGGTGTCCTGTTTGGTTGGTTCTTTTTGTACATGTACCCTATCAGCCCGATACTTCAGAACTTAGTTGCACAATAACTACATTTTCACAATTATATTTTGGAGATTTTGTATTTTATTTTATGTTGTTTTGGTGCTAGATGTTAGTGGGGATCTTGTGTTCACCCATAAATGGTATTTTTTCAATGGTTGGCATTTTTTTATTTCCAGTTTTAGAAGTTGTTTTTCTTTTGTAAGCAAATTAAAGATGTACTTATAGATAAATTGTTGTTTTTTGTTGTAAATGCTTTTCACTATGGTGGATTAATATTTCATGCTTAATTTGTATGAATTATTTATTGCAATATGTTTCATACCATTTTTCAATCAAAATAAAAGCTATTAATTAGTTTATTACTTTCTGATTGGTGATAAAACATCTGTACATATATCATCTCATTATTAGTCAATCACTCTAAAAAGAGAATTTGTGAAAACAAGTGTGTATTGATTGCTCAGAACATCATTTCTTGATTAAACATTTGTATAGTTGTGATTCCCCTATACCTGCATGTATCAGACTACTTAGACCAAGTACTACTTAGAACTAGTTTGGAATAATTGTCTCTGAGATATTTTGTGCTATATTCTTTACCTACAATATACCCCTAACCTTTCATTTATTATATTGCTGTACTACATCATATTGAAGAAATACCTGTCTTTGTGTTTTGCCAAAAGTTTACCCGCACGATGAAACCATTTTTAGATATAGTCATACTGTTAGGTTGTACATGTGTGAGGTTGTACAAGTACATGTGTGAGGTTGTACAAGTACATGTGTGAAGTTGTACAAGTACATGTGTGAATTTGTATAAGTACATGTGTGAGGTTGTACAGGTACATGAATGTGACGAATTGAATTTGATAGTTGACAGTTATGCAATGTAATGCACCAGCTATAATTGTGCTGAGTCAAGATGCTTCGATACATCCATGTAATTCTGTTGTAATTTCTTACAAAGAATTTGAATGTAAATTATGCATGTTATTATTTTATTTTAGATGTTTTGATGTAAAACAATTGAATTGTGATTTAAAATGGATGATTGAAATACTTTAATAAAATAATTGGAGCTGGCCTAATAATTTTGCTGTTTAATTTACATCATCACACCATAACCTACATGTAATAAATGAATTAGAGGAATAACTGGCTAAATGGTCAGGGCTCACGGTAAATCCAAATGATTTGAAGCATAGTATATTTACTCTCACATACACCTTTGTTTTTCCAGCCAAGGGTCGCACCAACATAGAACTAAGAGAACAGTTCATCCTATCAGACGGTGTGCAGGGTCAATCAATGGCAAGTTTCGTGTCTAAAGGTTCACCAGGGAGCTCAAAGTCTGGAGGTAGTCAAAGTGGATTTTCAGGAACTGCCTCCTGGAGCAGCAGGTCCCCCAGTACTGTCAGTGGACCTATCACTAAAGTAAGTTAATTAAAGACTGCAGTGTTATTAATTCCACACAAAGCTTGTAGTTTATTGGCTCATTGTTGTGTATATTAGACCGGGGGGTTCACTGTACAAAATTCGGCTGGGGTCCTAGGCTGAACCCTCAAATTTGGATGTGTTCCCATACACAATATTACAGAGCACTTACAACTTCAATTTTAAAACTAATGGAAAACATAAGAAACTTGCATACTGTAACTTTCATATTGGCCTAACATACATTAATCATACACTTAAGTTTTATGTACATGTATATTTGAATATTTTTGCAGATTCGAGAAAAAACAACATATGGACAGCCATGGAGACAGCAACGTTCCATGCGAAGCCCCGATACAGAGGTGAACCAAATCATGTCCCGTGGTCTGATGAGTCCAACAGGCAGGAAGAGTCCTCGGGTATCCTCAGGATATGGTCAGTCATCTGGATATGGTCAATCGTCAGGATATGGTCAGTCGTCAGGATATGGCCATGCAAGAGATTGTGCTTTAAATAGCCCATGTAAGTCTATAGCCATGTTTTTGTGCATTGTTGAAGCAATAACCACGCACTTATGGGAGTACAAAGAGGATTTTATGATCATTTATATTGATCCATAACAGTTATGCTGATAAATCAGAGTTCTCATCTTTACATTATCATCATAAATCTACCTTGAAGCTATAATGTAAAATCTATCTTTATCTTTAATTTTTACTTTCAGATTAATTTTGCAAATGAGCAGGTATTTGAATTGCACCTGATTGAAATATCTTGTTAATTTACTCCAATTGATGGTTCATATTGTAAATGTGTCGTTCTATTCCAGTGAGTACAACCAGTGCTAGCAGTAGTCGACCAGGGAGTCGGCCTGGAAGTCGACCAAGCAGCAGAGCTAGCAGCATATCAGAGGAACCTGAGGTTTACACAACATTACAGTCTGAACGACGTAGTACAGGAGGACGTGGACAGACTATTGGCACATATCAGACACATGTTGTCCAAACTAGGACGTTAACTGTACCCACACATACACCGTCTCGGACTTCTTCATCAAAAATACCAAAAGCATCCCCTAAAAAGAAATAATTTATTCAGTGCATATAAAACTTAAAATGGTGTATGTTAGTGTAAATGGACATGTAAATGTGATTTCTGAATAGGTGATAATAAATGCTAACAGAAGAGCATCGGACCTGTCATTACCTGGAAGTGTCACAGACAAATGTAATTACCAATTTCGACAAATATAATTTCAATTTTGTACATCATGTAGTTGCTTAATATGGAAAATAATAAAAAATGCTTGAAGTGTATTGAAATTATTATAGCCTACCGCAATATTTGACTGCATGATAATAAAACATAATATTATGAATTCATTTTTTTTAACCTTGGTTTCACACGACTAAAAATAAACGCAGAAAATGTAATTGTATATAAATTGACTATGCAGAGGTATTAAATATTATTTGCTGCTAACATAAACAAGTTAGCTAGATTTAGTTAGAAGCATGATGTACAAACAAATTTTTATGATTTTTATATCAACTTACAATTGTGTACACAGGTACATTCGTAAGTATGTATTTCGATGGAATAGTAGATGAAAATATTTTTACATGAAAACATTGCAGTATCATTTCGAAGATTTGTTTTCCATGAATAGTGGATTCTATTGTTATACAATTGTTAATTGTTGTGAATTATTTGTAGAATGTAAAATGTAATGCGATTCATGTTGCTTTATTTTGAATTAGAAGGTTGCTTGGATGTAGGCCTATGATGAATTCATCAATTGTTATTTAGATAAGTTGATAAAAATGGAACAAAGGCTAATCGGTGATAAGTGAATTTGAGTAGCCGTATGGGTAATATGAAACAGGTCACTTGTCTGAACAATTTTGTATCATTTCTTTAGAGAAAAGGTTAATGCATTACCTTTATACAATGGGGACTTGTATAGAGATATTCCATTAGTCTGGTTTACTGTAATGCTACACAACAGTGATTAAAACAGCATTTGAGGTTAAATAAGGGCATCAACCCACAAAGGGGACAAGTGGGTGGATTACCTTATTCAATTTCAAATTACTCTGATAACATCAAAGCAGTGACCACACATGCCACAGGGAATTTTGATTAACTGAAAAAAGGATAAGGTATAATAATTAATTTTCCTCCAGGTGGAATATCATATATTCAACAGGGACTTGGGTGTTGATGTTCCATTTGGAAGAGTGAATATCCTGTTGGTTATCTTGTTTCATACTATTGTCAAGGGAACAAAAGGTAGCATACATACTGACATACACTTATCACGACTAGTTTTCACTGAGGCAAAATTGATTTAGATTTTTTGATTTAGTTTAGTAAAGAAATGAAATCTTATCATAGCAATGAAATATTATACAATAGAGTAGAATAAGAATATATGAATGTGATTGTCCAACACAGATGTATATGTGTTTTCTATAAATGGGGACTTTATTTTGAACACATAAGACATTGTACTTTTATTATACTTATGGTGCCAGCTATGAGTTGTGAAGGATTTGTAAATCATTTGTAGTACCAGTTACTTTTAGTATAATATTTCTCATATGTTTTCTGTGAATTAGTAAAGAAGTTGCTTATTATATAAAGTAACATGAACCAATATATTGTTAATGCTATACATGTATGTAAGATATTTTCTAAAGGTTGTAATATATTAAAGTGAATGTTCTAAAAGTGTACATGTATATGAAGCTGTGATGTAAATTGTTCTAGGTGGTGTCAAACACAAACACACCTCTGTGTACTTATCTGCTTAATTTAACATTTATTTATGCAAAATACAAAATAACATGTCTATCAGAAGTTTTATTTATATATTAGGGCTAGCGATATAGGAAGGTTAATAATATTATTTATAATCATAGCATCTATTTTAGTTGCACATTTGACCAATGTGGGGACAACGACTCATGCATTGATGTAGCTCATTCATTAATGCTGCTCACATTCTATTATAATACAATATATTCATATCATTTATCACACTTAGGCCATCTCACATACTTAAGCCATGGTGTTGTGTTCTTAAAATAGATTATTATCTTCTTTAAATCTATAAAGCAAAAGCAAAATTTGATGTAATTATCATTTAGAACAGTCTAGCACACAGACCCAATGTTTTCAAGGCATATGATCCTGTGTGCTACACTGTGTTTAAAAATCTAGATTCGTTCACATTATTTGAGTGTGAATTAGTCAAATATTTGCATTGTATTTCATCTTTGCTTTGCTTGTAGTGGTCTATAACATAAAATATATATGGTATTTTATACATTATAGTGCATTTGTCTACCAGACAAATGGTTCATGGAATAAACATATAAAACTAAGCTCATAAATTTCTGCATTTTGTTTGATTGATGATGTAAGGCTGATATTAATATTAAATGTTATGTTGCACTTCAGATGACATTTATGATACATTCTGGTATAAAAGCAGGACCTCTGTGTCATACTTTCAAGACAGTCTATCAAATTGATTGTCAGTATTGAATTGAGCAATCAGGAATGCTAATAGTCTACCATGTCTAGTGTCTGAGTGTTCGCATGTTGCAGCTCTCCTGCTTAAATGATGGATAGATATCAATAGAAATCCAATTCAGAAGCTATTGATATGATGGACTTTCTTTTAATATCCGATTTCCTGTAAATGATGCTTAGCAGTTTATAATGAAACTTCAGGATGAAGATGAGAGTATTCGTCATGAGAAGTCCCAGAATATCCCTGACCACAAAAATCACACAATATTAGGAGTAATGCAATTTTGATTCTGGTGGCACAATCCTTGTGCTTAGCTTTAAAGAGATATCTGCACCCCTTATGACTATTAAAAAGCAATTTCTTCACTAAATGACAGCACTTTTTTCAAACAGTAATATTTATAGAAAAGTATTATTAGTATTACCCTTTGCATTGGTTTGACTTCACTTCTTAATTAAAAGAGAGCTTTGTGTAGTTTAACTTGACTCTGCACGCAAAGTATTATTGAATCGTCTGTTGATTGTGCAAGTATTAGTAATATTTTCATTGTTTTAATAAGATGTATATTAATAGGATTATGGAAGCATTGAACCCTTTAATGTACCTAAATAATAACTATTAGTCTATATGGATCATGGAAGCACTTGTTATGAGTTACCACAACAGTAGAAATCAAAGCAGTAATAATCTTTTGATTCTGACATATTTATGCAACCAATTATGAAAGTACTCTCCTCTCCATAAGTTTGGCAAAAAAGTCCCCTTTCTGGATTTCTTATCAAAGCCAATTCATGTTTGGTGATTTTAAAAAAGTTAATCAAAGTCATATTTCTGAGCTATTTAAGGGAACAAAATTTAAGATTCAAATATTGACAGGCTTTGATATGCTATCCAATGGAAATTTCTGGAAATTTCTGTTTGCCAAAATTATGGAAGGGAGGGTGTATAGCAAAATAAGCCTAGAGAGTTCAAGCAATCAGGAATTTATGAATTTACGAGATGATTTTGGATAGAACCCATTAGAAACAATGATAGATGATGACAAAATGGTTAAAAATCTGACACTTTATTATGCGAGTAGAAATAAGCTTGATTTACGTCATTAAATTACCCAAAATTCAGTCAAAGTGATGTCATATTTAAAATCTACATGTAAATGTACATCTAGAAATGTGGTTTCGAAAATCATTTATCAACTTTGAAAATTTAATTTTTTTGAAAATGTGACTTCTAGTTAAGGTTGATTCCCCATGTTACAAAATCACAAAAAGTGAAATATCTTTTCTCATTGGACAGATAACATTTTCTTTTACTCGACATATTTTAATTTGCATAACTATTAGATACATAAGGGTTATATGAAAATTGAACCACTAAAACAGATGTAAGTTAAAGGGAACTTTCTACTATACCCGCCATACTATCTGACGTGAACGAGCCACCTGGTGGTGAAACTGGTAACTGCTTACTTGTGTCTGCATTATTGGTGATGACAAATTCCTGATGCTCATTATAACAATGTCACCCCTATTTGGTGGTGAAATAAAATAAAGTGTAATTTAATATTTTAGGTAGAATTACAACTAGAAATATGTAAATGGATGTCTGAAAACCCTTGTGATAAAAATACAATGCTATGGATATTGGATGAGCAAATTTGATAATTTGATCCACTGCGCTTTATAGAATGTTCTCATTTTGATGAAGCTTCTAATTTTATGATGAAATAACAGCATCGATATCTGATAAGTGCAGCATTGCAATATTCTTCAGATTACCTGTCTATATTTTTTATTTTGAATGTTTAAATATGATTCTTTGGTGAAAGTATTTTTGAATTCTATATAGGTTCTAAGTACAGGAAAAATAAGAATATCCTGTTTCCATTGAAGTGCATAATTACTTTTTAATTTCTTTGTGATCATTTGAATGACAATATACTGCTCCAGTAAATAATATAGCCATACTTGAGATCTTATTATTGAAGTGACCCCTTTGGATCAATCTCCTCAAAAATAAAGAATAAAGAAAAACAAATGATCTTCTATTCAAGTAAAATATAACTATACTTTGAAAACATTGGATAAGGAACAAAAGAAGCCACTTGAAATGTTCAAGTTATTAAACGACAGGGGTATTAATCACAAAATATTTATAAACATGTATCTATTTTCAATTCATTTATTTAGAATTAAAATATTCTAATCCAAAAGATTATGGTCTTATCCTACAATCCTGTCCTTCAATTTAAAATGAGTGTGATGAAGAGAAAGCCACAAGAGGATGTGTAGTCAATAACTCTCATGTTGGAATCATATGCATGAAAAATGAGACCTTGCTTTATACTATTAGTACACAGAAATAGAAAAAAATAAAATTTCAATAAAACAATAACCTTATTCGAGAAAAATAGAATGGATATTTGCACCAAGTTCTTGGCGGACTGTATTAGTAGTCCTATTGTACTGAATTGTAGATTGTTTAAGCACAAATGTCTTGTATCAAGACTTTATGGGTGGTAGCTGACTTCAAAGGCAAGGATACAAAATATGAGTCCATTAAATCACCCACAATTGATGTGCTTACATTTTTTCACACATCTCAAAATCACAACAAAAAAAAAAGAATGAAATACAACCAGAGTTTTTACAATGCTTGACCATTTTGACTTTCAACTTAGGTCATGAAATGGATGAGTGTAATTAATTTATCTGAATCTAAAACTAACTATGCACTCTGTTGTAAAATATAGAGTGCATTATTATTTTTTAAAAAACAGCGTTATGATAGGTTGGAATTTGATGATGCCTAGCTGTGTGAACAATTTTTACACACTTTATTGAGTTTCATTTCATTACATGGCAACTTATCTTACTCTCTGCACAGAGCTTGCTAAATTGCATTACATACAGTAATAATTATTCTGTCACCAAAGACATTACTATGGCCTCTATTTAATTTTAGGTCACCTTAGACATTTATATGGCCTCTATTCTTTCCATAATGTCATTAATCTATGGGTCATAGACTTGGAGCTTGTTTGTAACATGGCAATTTGTAGCAATGAGTAATCATCAGTCCCAACACTCTAATACATTGTGCAATCACATTGTGACATTTTGCAATATATTTACAGATAAACATCATTGGAACATAAATCTAGTTGCGGAAGTATTGCTTGTGTATACATTGCTTTTTAGCATCACTAATTGAGGGTTGAAAGGGGCACAACAAATAAACAACTTCAAAGAAAGCTACTACATGCACCAACAACTGCTCCCTGGAGTGCTTACATTTTACTGTTTTAAAGGTTCAAATTAGTTTGAGACCACAAAATACATCACATTAAATTTATTTTAAGTAATAATAATAATTTATTTTTCAATCAACTATATATAATTAACATATTCCAGCATTATAAATATAGCAATATTTAATAATCTACAAGAATAAATACATACACCCTGACACCTACATACATTTGTGTAACTTCACCTAAAGGTATCAATAATGTAATGTAAGTACATGTATTATGAATCAATCTCAAGTATTATATGAAATATCTACAAAGTTTATTGACTAGCAGTTTCACTCTCATAATGTCGATTCATTTAAAGATAATATGTTGAAGATAATTAACATCTTGTTCCATTTATAACAGTAACAACTCACTGGTAATTCAAAACATATCAACTTTGGTACAAAAGAACAATTAATTTTTGTTGAATGTGGATCATAACCATAGCATTGCCTAAACTATGATATCATGTCTAATACGTTCAAGCTAACAACACCTGCATCATACTTTCTCAGAGCATTCTGATAACACTCCCATCATTTTATCTGACAGGTTCATCCTAACAACACCCGCATCATAATATCTCTGGAGGGTGCACCCTAACAACACCTTCATCAAACTAACATTAGATGACATTCATTATTAGAACATATATGCTAATAAGCAATCTTTTTTCAATTTTCTCTAGTTACAGAAATATTAACACACCTAGTATTCAAAGTATTCTGAATTTTGAACAACATACATCATATTTCTAAACAGCATAACTTGGACTATTTGTTCGATCCAGAATTAGCTGAAGTGGCCTATTTGTTAGACCCAGAACCAACTAATGAGGCCTATTTGTTAAACCCAGAACCAACTAATGAGGCCTATTTGTTAAACCCAGAACCAACTAATGAGGCCTATTTGTAGGACCCAGAACCAACTAATGAGGCCTATTTGTTAGACCCAGAACCAACTAATGAGGCCTATTTGTTAAACCCAGAACCAACTAATGAGGCCTATTTGTTAAAGCCAGAACCAACTAATGAGGCCTATTTGTTAAATCAAGAACCAACTTATGAGGGTTATTTGTGGTCAGAACTCAGAACCAACTTATGGGGAATATTTGTTAAAATCAGAATTAATCGATAAGGACTAATTAAACCCAGAACCAACTGATGGAGGAAATCTCAGGACTAACTAATGAAGGGCATTTGTTCGACCTGGAACCAACTAATGGGGGTGATTTGTTTGACCCATAATCTTTCCCTTGAATGGGCTCATGTTTTTATGATCATTTTTTATTCTACTGCTCATAAAAATCTATAAATGATGCCATTAATGCCTTCCATATCTTCCTCAACATGTCCCAGACATGACAAATCATAGGTCAAGGTGCTACAGCAGACACATATTGATCATGTCTATTCTCAATTGTCAGATTTCACAGGAACATTGTCTTCAGTGACTTCTTTACATTCTCAATTTCCTTTTGTTGCTGAAAATATAAACAAAGACTAGTACATATTATGTATAGGAGGAATACAAGTGCATGTTAAAAGCTGAAAGGTGTT